TTATTTAGAAGGTAAATATTTTCAAAAATTATTATTTTATTTAGATCTAAGTTATTTTGATCTATTCTTCTAAACTTGTTTATAATATGATAAATATTTAGTGGAACATGAATAGTTATTAATAGAAATTTAAAATAAAGACTTTGATTTCTAATCTTAGTTTAAAGGATTATTAAATAATATTTATATTCATTCTGTTTTAGTTGTGACAATAAAAACATTTTTTCTGAGTTGATTTCTAATTAACAATTTATCTATTTAACTAATTTTGAAAAATTACAGAATTTTCATTTTTAATCAGTCGATAATTAATTAGTAATATAAGAAAAATTGAGAATGGTTTTGAAATATTTAATCAAGCACAATCATGAGAATAATATATTTTATATGCATAATCAATTACTCTAAACTTATATTGATAATATTTATATCGATTGCTCTATCTAATTTTACAAAGTAACTAATAGTAATAGCATCATTAGAAAATTAAATGTTAAATACACTCACAGCAGTCATCTAAGATTGTAATAGAGCAAAAATTGATATAGAATTTGCACTTCTTAAACAATAGTAGTTTTGCTTTTTTAAACTGCATGAATTACACATATAAAATTATGACTTTATTTTTTTCTTTTATGTGTCAAATTGATATTAAATTACAATATTTAGTTAAGATATTTAATTTACATAAATTGTTTCAGTAATTGGAATAGCATATACTTTATTAAGCTCTTTTAACTCTAATTATAGTGAAGAAGCTGCCAATTTTATTAAATTTTCTTTTTGACTTGCTCTTACAGTTTTGATTATCCATGGCAAATAAATCTTTGAGATTGTTCTGTGAAAATAGATATTAGTAAATCGCAATACCTAAACACCATTACCAAAACTTGACCCTAAAAATTATATTTTTTTATACATTTTCCATATGTATAGTAATTTGAGTATATTATTCTCTTAATCCTAATATTGATAGTTTGACCCCACTTTAATCCTTATAAACCAATATTCCAATCCCTATCACTTGGAAATGAAAATGTAGGGCTGGTGTATAAATCTTCATTTTTTACTATTTGATTATCTAAATCAATAGCATCATCAATTGAAAGTAGAATCTAATAACCTAATTTTACTAAATTTTAAGTATTTGACTTGATTTCAATAACTACATCTTTTAAATTTATACTAACAATCTAAAATTATAATAATTGATACATTTAATGAAAAATCTATAGGGCCTTTGTAACAAAACGATGTTACATAAACAATTCCTTTTGAAAAATTTGGATTAAAATGAGGATGAATGATTTAAGTAGTAAAGCTTTCGCTAGATTGTTAGATTTCGTAATTTACAACATTAATGACTTAAATTCTTCTGTCATCATAAGCATACCAATTAAAAGGAGCTTCTATTCTAATAAAGACATCTGAATAAAACTTTAAACTCTAAATATTAATTAAATCCCTACTTGTTTTTGATATTTCTGTAATTTCAATGTCATAACCATTAGGTTAATAATAATCGTAGTTAAATTTATACATGATAATTGACACTTATGGAGGTCTTTCAAATATGCCTGAAAAAGTAAACTCTTTTATGTAGTTTGTATTAGGATTCCCTATAAATCCATCATCATTATTTAATGATGATGTGAATCCAGTATCATATGTGATATATTCATTAGAGAAGGCTATCAGCTAACAAAGAATAAATGCTAAATTATGATATTTCATATCTAATTAATATTTATCTTAATTCTTCTTCAAGCAAATGAAATAATATAATAAATCTTTTATTTTCTGGTAAATCTAGTTTTAAGAAATAAAAAAGTTTGTTATATCTATAATTCATTTTTCTACAACAATTACTTATATTTAAGGTATAAATATATCAATGATGGATATTTGAAGACTTTAAATAAACTATAAATAAACATCATTTCGATTAAAATTTTTGAATTATTGAATTTTATTCAATTGTTCTAAAAATAGTTTAATTAATTATTTAAGATTAAGTGCTTATAAATATTGAGGTAATTATTATGAAATTGATTAATGAAAAAATGATGATTTAAAAAAAATAGTGACTTTAATTATTTTCACAATTAAATTTATACTACATTATAATCTAAAAATCGTTAAAATAAATCTATTATAAATTTTAATAGCATTAGTCTCTCTAATAAGCTTTAGATAATAATTTAATCAATTATTTGTCTCTAATTGCCATTTTATAGTTTTCTCAATAAATCTTTTATAATCCTAATCTTCTTTCTTAATCTCATTTGAAAAAATATGAACATTTAAACCTTAACATAAGGATATTATAGATATCATTTACGATTAAAAAATCTAAATTTGCTAAAAAGTGGATCGAAATTTTGAGAAGATTAGGGATAAAAATAAATAGAATGATGATAATTTAGGTAATTCATTTTATTTTATATAAATATTTTATTTATTATTTTAAAAAAGTTTATGTTTTGGAAATTTTTTTAATATTATATACTAAATTTAAGAGGAGATTTTTTTAATGTCTTTCATCCTTTAAACCAAACAATTTTTCTTTAGTTTTAAGTTAATTAATCACTGTTAC